ATGTATAATTAAATTCAATCTATAATACAGCTAAAAGTTTTGAAGAAGTTGTATGATTCAAATAAGTTGATGAACGACGAACGGACAACAGCACGTGTGGTCAATCCATGAGCTCCGCTCGGTCATCTTCAATGACATCAGAGCTAAAAAGTGAGATGATAAACACAAAGCGTTCTTCATCCTGTGATACGCTAAGAGCTACATTTTTGTAACTGTTATTTTGAGGGTTTGGTGATTGACAGAACACCAATGTAACACTGAAACACCAATGTGACAGCAAAAACCATTGCCCCACCAGATTATTGCTCAAGTTTATTGTCAAATGAAAGCCCATAGTGAATTACTTCAATACTGTTGTAGTTATATATATTTTAGTGTTTATTTACTGAAACAAACATCATCAGAAATAATTGATCACATTACTAAATTTGTGTACTACGTTATTTACTCCCACTCCAAAATGTACAATTACCGAATATATAAACTGGCACTGTAAAAAGTAACCACAATGGTAATCCTACAATCAGAACCACTCTCACCTTAATTATCATATTGAGAGCTTGCACAAAATTCTGTTCAGTTTCCACAATTTCTTGGATGCAATAGCCACGTTTCTGATCTCCAGACGACTGCTTCTACAAAGGCACAACGAAATATTAGAAATAAAGTTAAATGATAGAATAGTGTCTGTCCCAATTACGTCATCATAAAATGACAGTCAAAAAAGGACAATCATTTGAAAGAGATCAAACAAGGATAACATGTGCAGCTAACAGAGATTTTAACGTTGTAAATCTCAAGAAAGTTTCCTGTCTGAAAAAAGCTCTCAAGAAATTATTTCAATCCAACAGCAGTTATAAATACGTTTGTTGCTTTATAATCAGTATATTTTCAATGTGTGTCAATGAGTGTCAATGAATAATTAATCACATGCTGAAATATGTCATTCAAAACAAATGCTATTCTTGGGAGCGGGCATACAGCCTAGCAACCATCGTGATAAAAACAAAGGCTGAAAGCTGTACATGGGGATATTATTTAAGGCATGTTCACATACATTGTATCCCAGACAGGAAGATTTTAGCAGGGACAGGTAAATGAACAAATTGCCTGTCTCATGGACAGGTGAATAAAGATATCAAGTTTTCACTAACTGACTAAATGAGGTAGTCCCAATGTTGCTAATGCTCAGGAAATGATGATGAGTCAAGAATGACAAATTTATTTTAAATAACTTGTTGCAATTTATCTTACTAGGAACAGGTACATCATCAACTGGTACGAATACTTTTATTCTCCAACCTTGACAATTATTCCAACCTCTGACTCGGTATCAAATATCAAAGTGACAGGGTTTGCCTTGTCTATCAAGATGTAATCAAATTGTTAACAGATGGACGGACAGACGATGGACAAACGCTATACGAAAAGACACACAAAAGAAGCACATAAAAATTCTTACTGGAATTTGTAATTGTTGTTTGATGTCACAAAGTTCACCATAGATTTCATCATCTTCTATATCCTGATAGGGAACATCATATAAGTCATCATCCTCATCCGCTAAGTCACGCTCACTATGAAAATAAATTTAAGAAAATGTATTTTACAATCTGACTGCTGTAAAATACTTTATTTTAGCTGGAATTCATTTTCACTGAAAAGACTTTTTGGGTGTTTTGTATGGGATTTATTTTCACTGATTTCTGATGAATGTAAAATATAGAAAAAAGGTATATTTGCTGGATTTTATTTTCACTGAATCATTCCTTCAGCGAAAATAGAAAAATTAATTCCAAGCGAAAATAAAGTATTTTACAGTAGTCAGATTGTAAAATACATTTTCTTAAATATTGTGTGCAACTGGAAAGTTATAATTAAAAAATTTTCTCACATCTATATGTTTGTTAAGTAAATTTATGCATGATATTTTTATTGCACTCTTGTTTCTATCTCATTTAAGGAAGTAACAGGTGGGTGGGTGCCGGATAGGGAAATGATTCATTAGAAAATAAACTACTACCGATACACCCCTTTATACATGGGTGTATTCAGAAAATAAGTCAATTTTTAAACAACTTACAGCACCAATTTATGACAATTATTGTACAACTGGCACAAAAAAATAGACTTTAGCTTTACATGAAAAGTTTGTTCAATATGTATTTTTACTAATCCAAAGTTCATAATTTGCTTAAAATTTACATCCTGTTAAAACACTTGTCCTTGTTAAGCATGTGACAGAATTTGAATAATGTCACTGACCTCTGATGATTGCATGAGCAATCCATTAAAATGAGTTATTATTATGAAAAAGATGTCTACTATTAGAAGAAACTGCAAAGAAGCACTCAGTTTGTACAAGATTCATCAACTTCGGCTACACGTCAGTTAAAACAATCAACATACTACCCACATGGATACTATACAAGTATTAATTTTTCACTGGTATTTAATTTCACAGTTTTGATATTTTGAGTATATTTACTAAGGTTTAAAATTACAATTTTCCAGCAAAACAATGGGTACTATTGTTTCGCATGGATTTATTAAATTAAGAGATCTCACTTATCAGCGAAAAACAAAACAAACAAAAAACAGTGAAATATAATAAAAACACTCACTCAGCTAATTCTTCTAGAGTTTTGTAAATATCTTCGTCAATAGCGTGTTGGTGATGATTTTCAGGAGGAAATGGTCTGTGAATACAACAGAGAATGTTACTGTTATTAATCAGTGTCAACCTACTGGTACAAAGAGATGTTCATTAAAGTGTTCATGGAAATGTACAAACAAGTTATGTCATGATTTGACAGAATCCATGTTGTTCTATTTGTCAACAAAACTGACATTTTGAATCAGAACCTGAAAAAAATACATCTTAGAAATAAAACAACATGTGTTGTAAAGTTTGAATGTACGTCAAGTCATGTCAGTGACTTGGCTTTGAAACACTTTTTGTTAACAAAAAGTGTCTGTCATTATGCATTTTAAGTGTACACAACAAATGTATGTATCAAATTTTAACAAAATCCATTTATACACAACTGAGATCTAGTTCCAAAATGGCAGAAATACTTGATTTTGATGAATTTTAGGCACAAAAATGTTTGCAATTCGGCCATCTAGAATAAGTTCGTGAAACGAATGGACAGACATATGTATCCTAAAATTTATGAATGTGATCGGTCCAGATTCGTCAAAATGCAGGTGGGAACACATAAACAGATGCAAGCATGGATAATAAATAATGATGAAAATATAAAATATGTAATATTTTGTAACCATGACAACCAAACTTTACTCCTTTATCCACTTCTCGATTTCAAACAACTTTCCATAACATAAAACATTTATCACACCAATGTATCAAGAGTTCAAGGACAAGAATACAAATGTAGATTGTATAACATCAGAAGAAGGCACATTTAATAGCTATTACTGAAGTTGGTTTAGTTCTAGACTGTACTGCTGATTCCTTTATGAGCAAAGACGAACCAATGATGTACATAGCGGTTTCACAAAACGGGGCGTGGCAGCTAAACACTGAGCGTCCATAATATGTAAATGTGAATTCTCACCTTGCTACTGACTTTGCAATAGATGTATGTGAAAGTTTTGATAATGTAGCAATCACCTATAAAAGACACAAAGAATCAGTGGATTAGCAAAGCAATATCAGAGGTCACATGAATGTATACAAAAAATTGTTGGGATTTTAACAAGATATCACATTTATGCATTGCACTAACTTAATTCATAACAATGTTGTAAGACATATTCAAGTTCACAAGTTCACAAAATGTTAGGATACAAGAAATGTAAAACAATATTGATGACAGACCCTCCATTAACTACCAGTAAGCTAAAAGTATTGGTGTGGTAATTCACTCAGTTTTATTGTTTCAGTATTTAGAAAGATGGTTTTCATTTCTTGCTACTGCAGATTAAAGACATACTGGCCAAAATAAAAACGTTAGTTTTGACTTTACGTTTGCAGTTCTAGAGTTCATTTCATGTGACCAATTTGGAATTAGGCATAGACATGAACATAGCATTACATTATTTTTAGTGCATTTTCTACTCCCCATTCCGCCACAAAAAATCATGTTCATAATGTGGGCAAAATATCTGAATATGTTTGCTTTGGTCACAGGCATCTTAAAAACAGCCTGTAGTCTGAACATAACAAAGTAAAATAAAGTTGGCATATTCAAGAAAAATAAAGTACAGATAAAAAAAATGTTACTGGTCACATACCCCCATGATTTTGAATGGTTGAACACTTATAGCTAAACTGCACAAATCTCAAAACATGATCAAATCCCAAATTTATTTTATTTTAAATTCTTTACATACATGTATACATAAAAAATGACACCAGAAACACAAACACTTATAAAACTAGGTCAGTCTTGAATGTGATATGTTGCTATGTAAGCACAGCACAGTCCTAATAAAGATAAAACTAACATTTTTTATAAGCTAAAAAGGAGAAATGTTTTCTTTTTCAGAGTTACAAACCACTTACTCCACATTAGTGGTCTTCAAAACTGGTTCAATATTAAAGGGCGAGATATATGGGTCTCAATTAAACAAAGATGGCGACTTTTATTGACTGCTGCGCAGACCAATGAGTACAAACTGAGATGTTACTGAGATTAAACTATTGTACTTTGTGTCCAGATCAAAACATGTACCTGCGATTTACATTAAAATAGCACATGGATTGGGGGAAAATCAATGATTATCAACACAAAAGTTGCACATGCACAGTGCGGTAACCACTTCATATTTGAGGAAGTCCTCTTAAACTTGAAATACCAATAAATATATAATATTATAAATCACATTCCATATAATTGCCAACAATCCTTAAAGAGTATATAATGAAAATAGGGAAGCAATGGCGAGAGATTGTAGGAACAAAAACAAATATCTTCCTTGCTTTAAAGAAGCTTCCCAATTCTCCTTAATTTTGAATATTAAAGTTTATTTTATATAAATTCATGCATGCCTGAGACCTGTGGCTGAATAATTGATTTTGATGCATTTTCACAGCGGCTAAAAGTCAGCCATGAATCAAACCATGATACAAATAATTATATAAGCATGTGTCCTATGACGTACAAAGCATAAATGCATTCTGCTGGTACAGAAATGTTACCAAATAATTACAGTAGAGATTTTAGCAGCAAACATGGCAGAAAACTGCATATTTAATCCCAGTAGAATAATTGATTATGTTGTATGTACAGTACAGTCTGCGCATAAATTAACATCTTAGCTGGCAATCAGCTGACTTGGCCTTTTCATGAAAACTTATAAATTTTAAAATGAGTGGGTGTAATTGTCATCAATAATTACAATACCGTATGGTATTTGCTTATGTTGCTGATATGATGTATAGCCAGGCTGGCAGATTACTTATAATTTTGAAACGTGACAGTTTTGAAAGCAAGCTGAGCAAACTTTAAGCCAGCTTTAAGGGCGGTGGTCGTTGTGCTGTGCATGTGCGACATTTGTGTTGATAAACATAGATTTTCCCACAATCCAATGCGCTTTTTTAAGTATGAGGTTTGACCTGGGGGCAACTTACACTAATTACCGCGGGTGACTCCAAAATACCTTTGACTTGCACTACATACACTGCTCATAGTGCTTCAAATAGGGATAATATTGTACATGTACCTCCACAGGAGATACTAGAACCAATACCAGATTTAACTTTTCTACCACCAATTTCCTCTTTTCATCACAAATTCACAAAATAGTCATGTTTATAGTCTGCAATTTCCTTTCCTTTAGAC